ATCACGGTCAACTCTACTTTGAGGAGGCAGCTCTTCCCCAGTCGCATTTTGAGTGCCTTCCAACCTGAGGGGCTCATTTTCTGCCACTATATCTGACAGTGTTTCTCTGCTATTCATAAGGTTTTCAGTGACTAAGTACTCGGAAGTAGTTCATCACTCCTTCTTCCTAGTTTGTCTTCATCTAGAAGCTCATCTGAAACCTGTCCACTGTGGGTGACCCTGCTGATATTTAAAATACCGGTGGCATAACTTCCAGAATCACAGCAACTCACAAGACACCACAGTAAGACAAACTGGCAGACAAGTGACAAATGATAGTAATTACTCACTATTAAATCAAAAGAATCCTATTCCCATCCTTCCCCATCCCCTTACACACCCGACCCAAGGGTCTGGTGTGAAAAGGGAAACTATTCAGTGGGCACTCGACCCTACCCCCCTTGCTCTGAAATTAAGCAAACTCTTGAAAATTTGTCTGCCAGCCACTTTGTGCCTTTATAGCCACCCACCAATTTTGGTAACCAATGGCTAAGTTGCCTGTCCCTATGAATCTTGTGTACTGAGGGGATAGATAAGTTTGATTCTTGATATGAAGACTCCTTCCCTCTCAGTTGGAATATTGAGCAACTGCATCCATAAGCAGAGTCCTGGTGTGGCACTGTGGGTTAATGCTCTGGACTGCGAAGTCGGTTTGAACCACAAGGTCAGTGGTTCAAGCTCACTAGTCACTCCTGGTCGCTATGAGTCGGAACTGACTCTGTGGAACTAACAACAACAACAAATCCGTAAGCAAAGGCCAAATTCATCAAATTGTAGCAATTTACAGTTCCTTCTTATATCAAACTTCTTTATCTTCTTGTAGTCGAGTTCTGAGCAGCAAGTCATCCCAGCTATGTCAAACATATAGTAAGTTTTGAAATTAGAAAGTGTTACTTCTCCAACTTTTTTTTCCCATAATTGTTTGAATATTCTGAGTCTTTTGGATTTCTGTATGAATTTGAAGACCAGTTTGTTAATTTCTGTAATGAAACCAGCTGGAATTTGGATGGGGATTGCATTGAATCTATAGATAAATTAAGTATTGCCATTTTAACAATATTAAGTCTTGTGATCGATCCATGAACACAGGATGATGTCTTTTCATTTACTTAGGTATTAATTCCTTTCAACAATGTTTCACAGTTTGCAGAGTAGAAATTGTGCACTTCTGTTGTTAAGTTTATTCCGAAGTATTTTATGCTGTTGATCCTAGTTAGATGACATTGCTTACCTAATTTCATTTTTAGATTGTTCGTTGGGAGTGTATAGAAATGTTAATCTTGTATCTTGCAGCCTTGCTGAGCTTGTTTATTAGTTCTAAAAGGGTTTTTTTTCGTAGTAAATTTGAACTTTCTTTCAAAATAGAATTGTACTTGTAAGGGAATGCTTTTGTAAGGTGAGTAATTCTTTAATCTGTCTTTTCTAAATTTTGAATTTTCTTTTTGAAGTAGAGCAAACCTATGTTTATATTTTATCGCCATCAGTTTTGAATATCACTTTTTTTGATGAGTTTGGTCTTAAATCCTAACAGTCTGTGTATGCCAGTGATTCTCAATTGAATGTGGGAAAGAGTGGTGTATTACAGAATCACTCAAGGGACATTGCAAACCACCTTTGACTATCTGACAATCGATTTCGACACACACTCTCTTCCTTTGTGTCGAATCACTATTCTAATGAGGTGTATGTATTGGGGGTCACAACAAGGTTGAGAACCATCGGATCAACGTTTGCTACACAAGTACAGTATCACATTCTGTTATAAAAGAGAATTTGTATAATGATTTCTGGCCCCTATTATTATTATCATGAGTAATAATGGAAATATCTATCCATAACAGATAGCTAAGAATGGAACTCAAATAAATTCCAGTGCATCCTGCTGAGAAGAGTGTGGTCTTGATTCTCAGTTTGGTGTTAGTGGCTACAAATCTGTAATATCAATATGAGCAATGGGTCCAGAGGAAGAGTGCGGTGTTTATGGATTATCTCCATTTGGGTTTGCAGGGATAGCTTTGTATTGAATTTGATTTCTTATCTATCTATATCAGGTCCCAACAGAACCCCTGAGCTCAAATGAAATGCCGGAGGAAACCAGCACCCCTGAAGAGATGCCACCTCCAGAACCCCCAGAGCCACCACAGGAGGTGACTGATGCTGAGAAGTAACCTGTCTGTGGAAGAGACTTTTGTTTGTGTTCAATTAGGGCTCTGAGAGTTGTAAGGGGAGAGATAAACCTGAGACAGAGAGCAAATACGCTCCCTTTTAATGTTTTTCTTTGGTCTTTATCCACCCAAATGCACACTGGCATTTTCTTGCTGCAAGTTTTTTTTTTTTTTTTTTCTGGACTGAAGACCGTAGCAGAAGATGTCAGTTACCTCTGATAACTGGACAAATGGGTCTCTTGGCCCTGGCACTGGTTTTCCATGGCCTCAGCCATGGAATGTCCTTGGACTTCTCTCTTTTCCTTCTCAATCTTAGCTCTCCTGCTTGGGGTCATCAGTCTACTTCTGGAGTTACAGATTCTTGAGGCTAAAATCCTTTCAAGCTGCTGCATGCCATGAGCCTCTAGCCAGGAAACCCTAACTGGGTTCTTGGGGTCTTCAGAATTGAAGAATATGGAGAGTGGGGTTGGAGGAGTCTTCCGGCTACTCAAGTGCCAACATTGCCAGCGAATCCTTCTAGGAATGGGGCAGGTACCTTCTACTTGTTGTATTTAATCACGTAGCGGCACCTTTGTGCCCCCTTCCACTCTTTAACACCCAAGCTCCTACTTTTTTCCAATTAGATATGTGTAAGTAGTTGTAGTAGAGATAATTTCCATTTCTTGTAGACTACCTGAGACATTTTATTTAATATCTGTGCCATTCTCAGTATGAATTTATGAGGTGCCAATGGCATAGTCCCTCACATTCTGTCTCATCTCTCCTCCTTTCTCATGAGCCCCTTTTAATTTTGTTTCCTTTGACTTCTTGCTCCCATTAGGAGCAATAATGGCAGTAATAAAAGTTTGCGCTTGGATGTTTCCTTTTCCTCAGAGGAAACCCAAGTGCTCACTTAAACACTACCCACTCAGACTCCCTGTGTGAGGCCTGCAGAGGCCCAGAATGCACTATGGGAAAAACAAGGCACAGAGAGGCTCTCCTCTCCTATCCTCCTATGCCCCTCAAAAAAGGTAAAAATTAAAAAAAATAAAATAAAAAGATAACCAGTACTTCCATTAAAGCCTAGGCTGAGTGAGGAGGGAATGCCCAGGACTGCAGCCCTCCCGGGTAACCCACTCCCAAGGCCTTGGCCCTTCTTGGCCTATGGTAACCACCCCGGGGTTCTTCAAGCCCCGTTCTTCCAGCACTTCCACCGGCAGAGTCCCAGAGCCACTTCACCCTGGGGGTGGGCTGTGGCCCCCATCAGGTCTGCTCAGGACCTGCTCTATTTCAGGGAAGAAGATGTATGTATTATACATGGCTATATTTCCTAGAGCACCTGTGTTTTTCTCTTTCTAAGCCAGGGTCCTGTCTGGATGACTTATGGGGAGGGTGGGGGGAGTGTAAACCAGAACTTTTAATCTATTTGAAGGCGATTAAACTGTGTCTAATGCAAACTGCTTGCCTCCTCCTTCCCCGTTCCTTTTCCAGAACCACCCTGGGGTGTGAGTGTGTTGGTGTGTGTAGTAGGGGTGGGGGTGGGCATTGAAAGGGGTTGATATTTACTAGTCATACTTCCATTTTCCAGGGAACCCTTCGTGTTGGCAAGAGAGCTTGCAAACTAACTCTCCATTGGTCTGTACTACATTTCTGGGCTGCCATTTACCTTTTAATGGACTATGAAGAAAGGGCTTTCAAGGCACTTGTTGTTGTTAAGTGCTGTTGAGTCGGTTTTGACCCATAGCAACCCTGTATAGGGTTTCCAAGGAGCAGCTGGTGAGCTTGCAATTCAAATGGCTTCGCAGTCTGGCACATTAACCCATATCGCCACACCAGGACTCCTTCAAGGCATGATGTAGTGTTAATACAGTGGGAGGGTGGGGCATTATATTCATCTACTGAGCACAAGTAGTTCTTGATTAGAATATTGGTTTTATGCAGACAAATGCTGTTCATTGCAAATGAAGTTTGGTTATTGAAGCAGGCTCACCAAGGCCTACCTTTGGACACAGTTTGTTAGTGATCTTTCACGAGTGATACTAAAGATTTCTGTGATCAAGGTTTCTTTGCATTCCCATCTGACTCTTTTCATTCACTCATCAGAATTCCTGCCATTTGATGGATCCCAGATTTTTCTTGAAGCAGGATTGGAACAGAGCAATCCTTCTCTCGTGGAGAAAGACACAGAGTCTCTGAGTTCCTTCAGTGTTCGGCTTTCTCATTCTTTTTCTCCCCTCTCAGTTTTACTCTCATGGAGTCTTGGTGTGGTGCTGTGAGTTAATGCGCCAGACTGCAAAGCCATTTGAGCTGCAAGGTTGGCAGTTCAAGCTCACCAGCTACTCCTTGGAAACCCTATACAGGGTCATTATGGGTCGGAATCGACTCGACGACACTAACAACAACAACAGGTTTATTTTCAGTTAAGATTTGACTCGTTCAAACTTAGGCCCAGCCTGAGGGGTTTGGAAGTTAACTAGTTTTTCCAAGTAACCTGCCACTCCTATGAACCCCTTGATCCAATCCTGACTCAGATCACCTTTTCTCCTGGGTTAGGCTGGATTGTTCTCCCTAGACTTACCTCAGTCACTCTCCTGTTGACCTCTGGTCAGTTAGAGCAGTTTTCCCATTCTGATGTAAAGGGCCAAAATGGAAATTTCTCTAAAAAGTGTGGAAGTATTATTACTAATTTCAGATGTTTCAAAATCCCTGAAAACTCTTTCTTTTCCTTTGTAAATCTTCTGTGTTTGAAATCCTGGCCAGAAGATCTGTCCCAATCATACCATGTGCCAGTTGGGACCGTCCCTGGTCTAAGTCCTAGTCAGAGAGGGGAGATTGAAGAATTGATCTTTCCCATGGGAATAGGCTGTCAATTGTTTGGTCTTTTCAATGGCTGACACCTTTTCCAACAACCCCCTTCCTCTCCATGCCTCAAGATTCCTGTGCCCCCCACTTCCCCAGGCCAGTATGGTTGGCAATGATCCAAAATCTTGGGGGGGAGGATGGAAATTGGCTATTTTGGGCCATTTCTTCATGTCCCTTGCCCTGACTGAGGTCATTGTCGTTTTCTTTGTTTGTCCCCCAATGGTAGAGGTGGTTCCTCATTCCATAGTAGCGAAATTCCATTCTTCCTGGCCTGACCTTCCTGCCTTTACCCCAATGGACCTTTTCATATTGACCTATTGAATCTCTTTACCTAGTTAAAGGATTTTGTTTTTAAAGCTATTTTCAAACTTATGTAGATCTTTGCCCCTTTGTATGAGCCTACAAATGTGTGTGAATGGGTCTACGTTGAGGATTTTTTTCACTCTCTGTTATTTCTTAATAAATAAATCTTTCTTTGACAAGGGGGAAGCCAATTATTGAAGGAGATATGAATGGTTCTAGCAATATAAGGATGTCTGTTTCTTTGTGCTTTTGTCTCATTTCTTTCCTTGGGCCTAGTGTGAGTGATGTACCCCTCCCCATATCTGTTGACCTCTTCCTTTGAGAACCTTCAATTTAGTGTGGGAGTGGTAGTGAGGGGGTTAGAGAGAGAGAGAGAGAGAGAGAGAGAGACCTGTCCTGTATCTGGTACCCCTGTGGGAGCACTTGGATTGGCTAAAGCGGTAACCTAGCAACCTAGCTCCCCTCCCTCGCCCTTTAGACTGGATGTGTTAGTCCTTTTCTTCTCAGTTCATTTTATACTCCTGAGACTGGGGCCAGACTGGGGAAAATCACCAAGGGATTATAGTAAATAGCTTTTTAAAAACGATAATTTGTTCTTATGCTTTGGTACAACTAAAGAAGAGAAGAGCAATATTTCTAATAATTTACAAAGTATTTTCATCTGTTTTGAGAAGACATTCTAGGACTCTCTTGTTCTTCTTAGGGGATAGATTTTAGAAAGAGTGTCAAAGGCTAAAACTGTGACTATCATTCTTTTCAGAAGGTGAAAGCCCAACTCACTAAAAAGAGGGCCATGGTGGATTTCATGTTTTGGATAGATATGAAAGGAAAATTGTTGTGGTTAAGTGCTATTGAGTCTGTTCCAAGTCATAGCAACTCTGTGTACAACAGAATGAAACACTGCCTGGTCCTGTAATAATAATCTCATAATCATTGCTGTGTTTAAGACCATTGTTGCAGCCACTCTGCCATTCCACCTCACTGAGGGTAATCTTCTTTTCCACTGACCCTTTATAGACTGGGAACTATAAATTTGCATCTATAAAAATACTTTAATGTCTTGGTGTGGTGCTGTAGGTCATCATTGCTAACCACAAAGTTGATGGTTCAAATCCCACCATCCACTCCGTGGAAACCCTATACAGGAGGGGTAGGGGACCTTTTTTCTGCCAAAATTTCTAACATCATTCATGGGCCATACAAAATGATCAACTTAAAAATTGGTCTGCTATATTTGATCAAACAATGAACTCACCCCTAATATGATGGCTGGAACTGCAGTTGCCTTGGCAGAGCCCACCCCTGCTATATACAGCTGACTCGATGGCACTAACAACAACAACAGAGGACATTAATAATGGTAGACAAACCTGGTGGTGCAAGTGGTTAATGTGCTGACCTGTTAACTAAAGGTTGGAGGTTGGAGTCTATCTAAATGTGCTTTGGAGAACAGTTCTACTCTGACACACATGGGGTCGCTATGATGCAGAATTGGCTCAGTAACATCTGGTTAATTATTTTACAAGTCATAAACATAAATATGCCTTTATAGTTTTAATGGTGGTGGCTGTGTGCCATGGAGTCGGTTCTGACTCATAGCGACCCTGTACAGGGTTTCCGAGGCTGTAAATCTTTATGGGAGCAGAACGCCTCATCTTTCTCCTGAGGAACAGCTGGTAGTTTCCAACTGCTGACCTTCCAGTTTGCAGCCTGATTTATAACAACTACGCTACCAGAGCTGAATTTCCAGGGATGTCACAACTGTGTAAATTGAGGAAAAATGGAGCTTTATTTTGTTCTGAACTTTGCCAAGTTCACAAGTTTTGGAAATCATGCCGTTGACAACAGGGCCATTCATGTGTATTTAAGCTGTCAATGCAACATACCTGTATTAGTCTTCATTTGTAGCTGTTGCACTCACAGTGATTCTCCACGTATGTGGAAACCTCTGACTACCTAGTGTTTGCCTCAGTATTTGCATATTGAGGAGCATATCATTGAATTATAAGTTATATAGATAAAGATTAGATTGTTGCTGTTCAGTTGGTTCTAAATCATGGAGGTCTTATATACCACAGAATGAAACCATGCCTGGTTCTGCATCGTCCTCGTGATTCCCGGCATGTGGCAGTCCATCTCACTAGATCGGCACCCTCAGTGGCTCTCTATTTTGCCACCTGTGAAGTCCTCCTCTGGTGATTGACCCCTCCTGATGATGTGTCTAAAGCAAGTGACTCAGACAAGGTTCCGCTGTGATCTGGAAGTTTTCCACTTGCTAATTTTCAGAAGTAGATCACTGGGCCCTTCTTGTCAGTCTTAGTCTGAAAGCTCCGCTGAAACCGATCCACCCTGGGTGACTCTGCTGGTATTTGAAGTATAGGTAACATAGCTTCCAACATCCTACAAGCCACCACATTATGACAGATGGGTGGTGGTGTGATTAAAGTACTTCCCTTTTATTTCTTCTTATATTATAGTTAGTACGTGATAGTTGTGTTAGTCTAGAAATACTGTATAAAAGCAGATTATATTAAATATGAAATTTATTTTAGGATGATAAAGGCTGAGGGCTAGGACTGATGGGATTGAGAATCACTAGACTAGCCCACCTCAGAGGTCCCTTTCTCACTTTAATTATTTGGGAAGCTTAGAGAGAAAATAAGCGTCTTATTCCTCTTAGACCTTTAATGTGCCTTTTTTAAAAAGTAGTACATGTTCATTGTTGAAAATGGGAAAGTACAAAGTAGAGTTTTTAAAATCACCCATAAACTCATCAGGAAGAGAATCACTGGTAGTGTTTTGATGTATTTCCAACGTGTCCTTCTTTGTTGTTTTTCTGTGCATATCTATTATTAAACATAACTGGAATCCAACTATAAATACAGTTTTTAAATATATATTTTATTGTGTTTTTGGCAGAAGTTTACATGGCAAATTAGGTTCCCAATTAGCAATTTCTACACAAATTGTTCAGTATATACCGGTTACATTTTTCACAACATCCAACGTTCTTACTGATATCATTCAGATTGTTCCATTTCCAGTACTCTAGTTTCCCTACCCACCTTCTTATCTTTGCTTTAGAGTAATTGTTGACCTTTGGTCTTATATGTTGTTGTTGTTAAGTGCTATCAAGTCAATTCTGACCCATAGCGACCCTGTATAGGGTTTCCGAGGAGCAGCTGGTGAGCTTGAACCGCCGACCTTGCAGTTCAAATGGCTTTGCAGTCTGGTGCATTAATCCACAGCACCACACCAGGACTCCTTGATGTTATATGGTGGTGGTTATGTG